TTGAATATATATATATATATATATATATATATATATATATATATATATATATATATACTAAACGTTCTCCAAAAAACTTTAGTGAGAAAAATCGAAAAAACGAACTATAAACATATTAACGCCAAACATTCGGTAGAATTTATAGAATATTGTAAAAATTATGGTCTATTACCAACACAACACACACACACACACTAAAAAATATTGAATTATATTGTATTATTATATATATATATATATATATATATATATATACTACTGTTATATATATATATATATATTTGAGGTCGAATAAAAAAATATTGTATTATATTGTATTATTATATATATATATATATATATATATATATATACTACTGTTATAAACATGCATAGCATATATCTACTTTGATACATAATATAATCCCCACTGCAAATTGTGAAAAGATTTATGTTTTGTCCATAATTTATATTTTCGAATGAGGATGAAATGACAGTTGAAAAAACTTAACAGGACATGAAGCAAATTATCGAGGATGTCAGTTCCTTGTATATGTCATCATCCAATTATCCAAGTTAGTGCTCTTCATTTTTTTTCTTTATGTTGAATTATTTATTATCTAATTACTAAAATAACAGCATTAATTAATTGATCTTATTTTCACTGAATTAATTTTTTTTATATATTTTTCTATGTATGTACGTCAGGATTATGTTCAATTTTATTTTACATTCTCTTAAAAACTACATATGAAATAAAATATTCAAATATGAAGGAAACAAAAATTTAAAGCACTGAAATACAAATTTCAAGTCACGGAAAACTCAATCATTCGGTCATGTACATATCTTAACATAATCGATAAAACTTGTAAAATAAGTTGAAGAAAATATTTTAAGGGAAACGAATTTGTCAATTTCATCGCTTCTTTTTTCTTAATTTGTTTTTTTTTTATTTTTGGAGATCTAAAATATGAATTAAACTGTAAAATGTTAGAAATACTTTTGTGTTGAAAAATTGGACGAACAAAAATTATCGGAAACTGCAAATATGCTGTTAAATATTTACGTCAAAATGTTTTAATCTATAAATACATGACAAAAGCATTATGAAGTTAAAAATTTAGTGCAATTTATAAATTTGGTTATCATCGTCGCACCGATTTCGACTTTTTTAAGAGTGTGAATTGGCGTTTGATGGGTCGAATTTGTTAGATACAAAACTTTTACCTTTCAAAATTTTTTATTTCAAATGTACACAACACTGTATGAATACAAAATGTATTACGACTTTATATAAGGGTACGAACCTTTCCTCACTCCCATATCCCGTTCTGCAGCCATCGTCAAAACAGGATCCGTGAAAAGAAAATTCCATTCGTCTGGTCAACTCGAACGAACGGTAACCATTGAAGAAAATCTCAACAATGTAGGTCTTCACAGTGGCAACGGTTCTTTCTTTGAAGATGCAGGTGGTACGAATTATATCACAAGGGATGGATCGAAAGCTGGATTCTATGCAACTGCTCCTCCCATTCTCTCTAACTCACCAGTATCCGTGTTTCGAATTAAACTTTTATTTTTCTTAAATTGCTCTCGTAACTTAATCCAATCAATTGAATTTCACTTCAACTATAATTAAAATATATATTTCACATGAGAATGCTGGCGGGTTCGAGATCTATGTTAAAATGTTTTTGCAGAGTAAATTTAGTGCCGACAAAAACCGAGTTTCAAAAATGTTTGACATGCTCGAAAGGAAAGAGCGATTTGATGGCAGAAAGATTGTAAGCAGAGACAAACTTTTTGAGGATGACAACAGAATAGCTGGTAATTCTAAAAGATTTCCCATTAAAGCTAATTATGATCAGAGGTCAGACTTATTCGATTGATTTATTTTGTGGAAATTATAAATGATAGTTTAAACATTTTTATGTTGATAATATGCTATATTATTCTATTTTTATTTCTTTAACATGTCTCAGCTTGTATCATTCAATCTTCGTTTAGCGTCCGATGTCTCAGCTTGTATGTAGAACCTTTAATGGAATTTATTATTAAAAAAAATAATCGTTTTTTAATTTTTATTCAACCTCTCGTTGAGCATTTCGACCAAAATCATTCCATCTGCTGGACCGTTGGTTATGTAAGCAACAGTAGCAATTGTATCTGCAATTCGTTATTATTTTTCTAACAACTTCATGATTGATTTGCTTTTAATTTAAACTAGATTAGCAAAATGACTTCTTGCATTCAGAATGTTCGTGAACAAGGAGCATTGTTGCGTAGATAGTGAAGGGGACCGCCTTCACGACAGCCACCTCGTCAGCAATGCTTTCACTACCAGTGCCGACGAGAATAAACACAAGAGCGTCATTCCGTGGGACGAAGTGGCGATTCCCGGTGTCAAATATTCCGACAAGTATGAGGATGATAGAAGCCAAAGTGACGATGGTGAGATAATAACTATTATAATAAATGAAAAAATAATTATGCACGGCTAATCCACTCCGATGTTATATTTTCTATAATAATAATTAGTTCAAGTTTCTAATAATTGAATAATGTAGTGCCAGCGAAGCAGATGAACGAGAGATTTCACTCTCCACCACTTGGATGCGCCTTTCCAGGAAGGAATGAATATCCATTGGATGAACATTTAAAAGATGATTGGGTGAGGGTCCATCTGATTCAATCTGATTACAATCTCAGTTAAAATTAGAGATTTTGGGAAATTTTTAATTGATGGGAAATTTCTAAATGTTGCAGAGATATAACGTAAACAACAATAGTGTGGTGGCATCTACGAAGAATAACTTTGCAAAGAGGGCACAAGTTCACGATCCGCCAATAAAATCTAATTTCAACTTGCCAAATCCCGTCACCAATGCTAGAAGAATATCCGTGGTTCAGATTGAAATGCCAGATTCTTTGTCGTTTTTAAATAAAAATGGTTGGTTCTTGTTGTAAAAAATTAACATTCTTCTTTTAGCACGCATCTGAGTTAGCACTCAATCCTTGATCGAGCTCTTTTGCATTGTTTTTATGTTTGCTTTGCTTTCACATTTTTGTTTGAAACCACCCAGTTTTTTTTGTACTCAAATCAACCGGGTTTGTTTTTATGGATTATCTCATATTTTGTTTGGTTTAACTTTACACCAACCACATTAATTTTAATTACAGTTAATTAGTTGTTTTGGCTGTTCATCTTCTCGACGACAGCGTTGCAGTTGCGTTGCTGCATGCTGAGTTCTCCATTCAACGACAATTTTCTAAACTAAGATATTCTTGAATTTTTCAAATTTTAAAATTTTTTACTAACAGCCTAGCTGAAGTTTTGAAATAGCATTTCTGAAATTTACGATCTCTCGAGATGAAAGCCTTATAAAAATAAAATTGATTTGCTCTATATTTAGAACTTTGAAGTTGAATTTATCGTTTCATTCCTGAAAGCATTTGAGATTTATTTAGTGGCCGATAAAAATGCAGATTACGCACAGAAGGAAATGTCAAGCAACGCTAACAGCAACAACAGATCATCGATGAAGCTTTCTAAGAATAGGACGTCGATGAGGAAGAAAAAAGATCATCTCACGTGGCTACTCAACTTCATTTTTGCATTCGTTTTTAAATGTTTTTTTTTGTTTGTTTTAAACAGTTCTCATTTATGTTCATTATAAGTTTTTTTCTAATATTGTTTCTACCTTCTATATTTCTATTTAGAGTGGTATGTTAAACTAAATAATTTTATTACTTTGAACCTAGAGAGTTAGTGTGAACGAAACAGATTGAAATTGAGATCACAAAAAAAGCTCTTAGACATCAGTCATTCAATTCGACAAAAGTCATGAGAATAATTTATTTATAAAATAGAGCCGAAGTTGGATTGAAGCAAGAAGAGAAGCCCATACTGAAGCCCACCCTATCTACCATTCAAGAAATCATCACAATACTCAATTCAGATGACTGGTTAGTTTCTTCTAACATATTTTTGGACAATTATTATGCTGAATATCCTTCAGTTGAAATCGATTAAAATACTTGGATTTTAGTTAGGTTGCGTGTGACCAACGTGAAGTTGAGAAGAAAAAAATCTCAAATTATGTTGATGGAACGTAATTAATGTGAAACAAAAGAAAATAAATAATTATTTCTCAAAAAAGAGGTATTTTTTGTGAGAATTTTTGAGATAATGATGATGATCTATGCAGGAAAGCAGAGGTATCATCGTTAGAAACCATAGGTTCCATGTCTTGCACCAATGCTGAACTAATTGCTTCGAATCTGCATTCTCTCATTCATCCCATTCTTAAAGAGGTTTTTTGATACTTATTTTGAAACTTTTCCTTTTAGTTACAATTAACAAATTTCTTGGATATATTTCAATTTGGTTTTCTTTAAATTAGTTTATATTACTATCAATCTGAAAGGTAACAAATTTACGTTCAAACGTCTCGATGGCAGCCATGAAATGTTTGTCAGAAATGTTTAAAAGTTTACAAACTGCCATGGAGCCGGTGCGCTTTTTTCAGATTTTTATTTCAAATTTTATTACCTCGTTTTTTGACAACAAAAATTTATTCTTTCATTTTAACCAACGTAAACTTGTCTCAACCTTTAATCGTATGAGCTTTGTATTGTAATTCTTTGAAGTTTTTTTGGATTTATGGATTTATGTTTTTAAAGCAATCATTAACGGCTCTGTTAGCCTTTTTACTTTTACTTTCTTTTTAAAACTTGCGTTATCTGTCTTAAAAATACTCAACGTAGCAAACGTGGCAAGCGTGGCTTTCTACGTACGAGATCACACCTTAGCTCTCTAATATTAATTATTCAGTACGATGAACATTTATACGAACGTTTCGAAGGTACTCGATCGAACAATCATAGAGCTGTTGAACAGATCAGGTCACACGAACAACTTCATGAAAGAAGAGGCGCTCCGATGTCTGAATGTCATCATTGAAAATGTCAGTCCGATTAAGTCCGTTTCAGCCATCATCAGTTACGGAAACAAGTAAATTTTTACGTGTTGCAGTTGCGGGTGACGTTGGTGATTTATTAAATGTTAGCGAGTCTTACATTTCATAGTTGCTCCACTAGATTGTATTAAATCTTCATCTGTTCTATCTTTTACGTGCTGTCCTATAGTTATGTATAATCTTAATGATTGAAATAAAAAATTGCAATTTGATTTGACCAACTGTAACATTTGTTTAGATTTTTGTTTCCATGACATGTTTGTCAGAAAGTCATGCCACAAACAAACTAATCACAAATGTTTTGAAATGCTTCATTAATTTATTTCAGCCATCGAAACGTGACGATACGAAACGCTTCCTCTCAGCTGATCGTCAACATCTGCTTCATGCTTGGACCCCACAGTATCTTGGTGGACGGGCCAAAAGATGTAACGAACAAGATCCTCTCCACTGCAACTCACTATCTCACTGATGGTTCTCCTGAAGTCAGGTGTTAAAATTTTGGTTAAATGTTGAACAACATCAACTAAGTCAATATTTTATTTGTTAAATTTGAATATGTTTGTGATAAATGTTGGCGGCTGATGATTTTAATGAAGAGCAAACTTCATAACAGAACGAACGGCCGAAAGTTATTTTCAAATTTGCGAGGTCACGTTGAGTTCGATCGAAGTATGAGACTTCATTTACCTCACGATGTCATAACCAAGGTTGTTGAGCCAGCGTTGAAGGGACTCGAAAGTCGGGTAAGCTCACCACCGTTTGATCGTTTCATTCTTGTTTAAAAAAGTTTGTTTCTCAGTTAATATTTTCAGTAATAATAACTAGTACTATTAGTTTTCCAACTATAACAAACACCAACCCCTAGGCTTACTGCTACTACATTTTTACAACACCTATTGATACTACGACTACTACTACTACTATCACTACTACTATTACTACCACTGGTGCTGCTGCTACTACTGCTACTGCTTTTTTTATTGTTGCTATTTCTTTTATGAACGTTACAACAACTTGTTAATGTCCCATGAACAGAACGACGTGGAGCACAACACTACGATGTCAGCGCAGACGAGAGTGAACAAAAACTCCATGAAACATTCCAGGTATCACTCAGCTGGAAACCTATGGTGAGTTTGTATATATTATGTAGTCTGTATGTGACTGCTCGCTCATTATTATACTCTGTACGTTGTGTGGAAATTTATGTTATCATTCATACGTTCTACGTTGTTCTCTCCTATCAAAATTTCAATAAGTGCATACAAATAGTTATCAGTAATTTTGTCTCATTAAAAGCATTTCAAAAGTTTGTTTGAAGTGCACTTGTGTTTGCATTAATAATAATTTCATCATCCTGATGTCTCCGTGATGGCCATTGAGACTCAGGCACACGCTTGTTATCCGATATCAGGTAAGTTTCCAGATGATTAGTTGCGGCATCTGCAAAATAATTTTTTAATTGTTCATTTGCAGCAATATAGTGAGCAACGCAGAGAATACTGCTCAGCCACCGGCACCTCCGTCACAAACGACGACGTCGACGATACCGAGTTCGAAAGGTAAGAAGCAAGTGAAGCTGGATGACTCCACATTAGATGCTGTCAACAAGATTATTGACGCTTTAGATTCCAATGATTTTCGAGAAAGATTGAATGGTTTGAATGATTTGAGAGCGTTAGTAATTCAGGAAGGCAAGGTCAATGCTGTTGTTTCCCACGTCAACAGGGTGGGTGTTCGTATTGAAGTTTGAAGCTCAGTCCTATTTATAATTATATATTTATAATTAATTTTTTCTGGTTTTGTTATACTTTTTATTAAATAATTCATTTTATTCTTTTGTTGCAAAAAGATTTTCATTAAAAGTTATTGGGACTAATTAATGAATTTAATATAAAGTTAAATGCTGTCAACCAGATATATGATAAGCTGGCTCCATGCCTGAAAGATTCCAACTTCAAAGTTACCATACAAGCACTACAAGTTTTTAAGGACCTTCTACCTTACGTCTCTGCACATCTGACCAACCTCATCAGCATGACGATTGCGAACGTCTCAAGCAACATGGCTTCCAACAACAGAGATGTCAGAGATAGTGCCAATCTCGTACTGGACGGATGTATTCAATTCATGGGTGAGCTGCTTTCTTTCACATGAAAGTTAATATTTTTTCAAATATATCAACGTGTCCTTCATTCAGATCCAGCTATCTTAATGCCATCCTTTGTTACCGCTACTATTAATGCCAACAATCGATACAAAGTCTACATGGTTGAAAAGGTTTCAGGTCTGTATCACACGTTATATATTGTTAACTTCCTATTTCAGCTAACCTATATAATTTTTACAAGTTATGGTTTTTTAATTTGCTGCTTTTCGTTTAAAAACTTTAACAGAATTAGTTCGACAACTGCATCCACAGAGGAACAAAACAATATCGCTTCAAGTCCTGCCTCTACTCTGGCAGTTGCTATCGATGATGACAACAGGCGGCTCCAACAAGGGCACTCCAAATCTTCTGAGGCAGAGTACAACTCGCTTGGTGAAGGATTTAAAAGAAGTCCTAGGAACGGGATTAATGGAATACGCGCAGATGAATTCGAAAGTGAACCTGCCGATGAGGCACATGTTGCAGGAGTTGATGCAGTTTCAAGGAGAGTATGACGACGACGGTGGTGGCGGTAGAAGTGAAGAACATAGTTTTGGGTATTAGTCTTTCGCACGCGATCATCTTCAAAAAAAGATTGATCCATTTACTGCCTTGCACTTGCACACGTATTTTGTTAGGTGGTGTCTCATATCATATATTATAGTATTTCAATGTGCCGATGATTAAGTTCCTCTCAGTTGTTGTTGTTGTTGTAATCCTACGTTATTTATTTTGATGTAAAAAATCATTTCGTTTTTATTTTTAGCAGAAATTTATAATTTAAGTATATTTTTCAAATTTCAAAATTGTAATCAAAGATTGAATTAGATGTTATTTTTGATTGAGTTTGTTTGTAACATTTTTTACGGGTTTTCGGAGCTTTCCTGCTATCTTAACTATTTTATTCATATATTATTTTTACTGTTCGAGGAAATGGTTATTTTGATTTTTTAAATTTAAATTAATGGATACGATTTACATTTAAAAGTTATCTGCACGCAATTTCCAAAGTTTCGATATTTTTAAAAAGTTTATAATGTAAAACATTGAACTAGTTAAAGAAATAGCAACTAAAATTGATTGAGGTTCATTGAAAGAAATATTAAATGAAAATATGCATCAAAAATTATAATATTTAAGCTGGTTAGGAAATAACGGAAAATTTTAAAATGTATCAAATTTTTGTAAATACATTTAAGTCATAAATGTTACTACAAATTTTATTGAAAAAACTTTGATATTTGCTGATGTTTGTGTAATATTCATGAAATATTTTCTGCAAATTATTAATGGCACGTCAAAGCGACGTTTAAACGTTGGTTTCATTACAAATATTTTATAAATCAGTCAAGAAAATTTTTTCGAAAGAATTAAGTTGTAGAGTTCATCTGTCAATTGAAACAATTCGACCTCCCTTCAATCGCGTTTTGCGTAATTATGATTTGTACTGATAATATTTGTTATGTTGACCGAAACAAAATAAATGAAAATATATTAAACCTCTATTTATTAATGTAAATGATTCTGACAAATTTCTTTTGTTTTTCATTTCAAAACTAAAAAATGCAACTTCTGTTCCGTTAACAGATTTCAAACTCGCCGTAAAGATATAATGATTGGTAGTATACCAAGATGCGGTGTGTATGGCTGATGTTTGCTGTTACACGATACGCTAAAAGTATGGAATTTCAATGGAGCCCTGGTGGCTATAATAAGATTTCTATTCGTGCAGTGGTTTTTTAAACAAATCTGCAAACATGTTTTTTCAAAGCCTATAATATTTTATATGGAAATCATTTTTATGTTTTCCGATCTTTTAGCAGTAACTTGAAACCTTATTTCGTCCACACGAAGCTCCGTCCGGTACATAGGCTAGGTTTGGAACATTTTCCATGTAGTCCATTCTTACAGCGGCGCATGTGATTGAAGATAAATTTTGTTCACTGAATTCATAAAATAAGAATATGCTGCCATCAATTGGAGCTTGCACACCACCGAACTGACAAAATAATTTTCCACAAAGCTCATCTCTGCATAAAAAGTGCACAATTATTTAAGAAAAACTTAATTTATTTGATAATATTTTCAATTGTAACCCTTCAGAGCAAGGAATAATTGACTTTCGAACCGGATCGTACCCGCAGTTGAAATTTGCTTCTTCTTGTTCATCTCTGTTGGCCCTGTAGCAAAGATTTTCGGCTGGTCGAGTGTCTGTGTTGTAGAATATATTGCTGCAGGCGACCGACCGAGAGCCGCAACTACCGTTAATGCAAAAGTCACGATTCTGCTCAGTAAACATTTTTTAAATGTGCTTATTTGTGGGTTTAAACTTTCAATAACTAACACTACACATTGATCCATCCGGTTCATGAAAATCCGGACAGAGTGAGCTTTTCCCATCACAAACATCCAGCAGGTCACAGACTGATTCCGCGTATCGACAAATTTTGCTTGAATTATAAAGCTTTTTTTTTGAAAAAATTATTTCTTAAAAATTTAAAAAATTGAGCTAAAAACGAACTTGGCAAAGATTAACGTTGCAACATAATCCTGTAGCGCACCGAGCATCTGTCTTGAAACGACATGTTGTGTGTGAGCAACAAATATTGGAACAAGTCTGCAGTTTAAGATTTTTCGTGCAACCGGATTAATGCATCTTATCGATCAAACTTTTTAATAAATTGATTTTGTTTTATTTTAAATAACAACTTTTTAACTTGAAAAAATTTTTCGTTAAAATAAAATGGAATCATCAGTCTCGTCACCTAAGGAGTCTCGTATTTAACTGTTACCAACACAAGGCCACTTCAAATAAATTGAAGTATCACATCTATTTTGCAAAATGTTGCTAACTGGAAACCCGGACCAATAAACCCGAACCTGGTTTGGATATCCTCCACAGTCGCATTCCTCCCCATCGTCCACAAACCCATTTCCGCATAGTTTTGGTATGGAGGGGGTTGTTTCGGTGAGAAGGCAGTTGTGTTGGTAGTACAGAGCGTGCAAGAGTTTCTTGCTGCAAGAAGACCATTTGACATTTTCTATGTATCTGCAATTAATGTGATCATTCGAATTGAAGTTTAATTATTCTAATAAATTTTATCAGTTTCACGAAAAACATGTATACAAATTCTTACAACTTGAACCTTTATCTTCATATAGACATGTGTATGTTCGCGTTTTGATTTAAATTCAGATAATTGTTAAATATAAAATATTCACTTAATAAAATAAGAATAATGACGAAGTGTTAATTTGCGAAACAGACCTGGATGCTCCTGAACTCATGATGCACGGCTCGTTATATTTGCAATCCAGGTAACATCTGAAAAATTTAAAATTCTGATACTCGTTGACGTGACTTAAGCCCAGAGTGTGCCCAACTTCATGAACAGTGGTCAGCGCGGTCAACAGGAAATTTTCCGTGTTCTTCGTTTAGGAGCGGGCATTAACACGTAAAGACTTACATTAGAAATAATGTTGCGAATCTAATTTGAATGTACCATAATCCAGATTGCTGAGCCAGGGAAAAGACAAGTGGTGTTGGTGAATGCCTGTCCCAATGTAGTGTTTGATTCTAATTTTCTAAACATATAATGAGATCTGTTTTTATCATTTTTTTCAAATTCTGGAAATTAAAAAATCTGAAATAAATACTTCAATTATTGGTCACCGCATTCTTGTTCTAACAACTTGCAGCCGATTTATTAGTAACCTGCTTAACTTAGCTCATTTCATTGAGTGTGTTTTTTAACAAGAAAAAAAATTACAAAGATAAAAATTTTATGGAAGTTTTATTTCACTAGGATAGCAATATTGCCACAGCACAAAACAATATATCAGTTTAAAAATGTATCGATATCATTATTTTAAATCTAGGTATCTATGTAAGTTTAGCTAATTGGCGTTACAAAACCTTTTCAGAATTATTTAAGAACAAACAATTTAAATTATTTTATAAAGGTTTTTTAAAATTTTATTGAAAAAAATCGATAAATCTTACAAGAACAGGGCCGTTATATCGTGTCTTGGAACGTGTGGTACCACATTTACAAAACTGTACGTTCTCCAGAAATGAGCCAGATCTTGACTGATGCCTAAATTTCAGGAAATTAACTTTCTATTCAAAAATTTAGCAATTTTAAAACAAAAAATTCATTTTTCAAAAAATGGCGTGAATTTTTTGAAACAAAATACCCAAATATTTTTGGTTTTAATAATTATTTTGAACTTTCATTCAACTCACTCTGTTGCCTGCTTTTGTCAAAATCAATGTTTGATTGATTCCATATTTCAATGCCAGCCAGTATTATGCTGATGTCAACTTTTTGATACCACTAACAAAATATTTCACAAAAACAGTGTCATCAAAATTATGTACAACGAGTTATGTGAAGAAACGCTCACAAAGTTGCAGGCATTTACAATCATCTGAAAATATTCTTCCATTTCTTCAACACTTTTAGTGCCATTGAACTAAAGTAGACAATTCATGCATAGATAATTTTTTGTGAAATAGTAATTCCCAGATGTTAGCCTACCGCAGATGGGTGGACAACGAAAAACATTTCAATGATTCTCGGCCTCCTTCGACCATGGTGTAGTCGTTTTCTTACGTTTGAGGCCTTTCAATAAAAATTTCTGGTTACAAAAAGTTATCAAGATAACTAACATAGACAAAGCAACACAAGGTTGTTCTTTGGGCACACCGACATACAATCAAATAATGGTACAATTTTGAAATACAAACTCGTTTTGTAAGAATTCTTTGGCGCATTTTTGACAAGCCGTCTTTAACCGTTCCTTGAAATTAAAGGCAAGTAAGAGGTTATTATTCGTTAACTGAATAAAATAATAAAGATAGGTGAATTAAAACGCAACCACAAAATGTAAAATTTTCATCGTTGAGTCTTTTCTTCAGAAAAACTAGCCAAGCAAAGTGAAAGTGTTCCTGTTTGACATCGTACGGTTCCAATGAGTAGGTTATCTGACCTTTTTGAAATGAACCTCTGAACAGAAAAAAGAAATCTAGTTGTGAAACAAACTTTCAGAAACGCAAAATGTAATCAATGTGCAAATAATTGTAGCACCTTCTAGCAATTTTTATACCAAATTTATTATTTAGGGTTGCACCTGATTCCATTGCACAGAGATAAAGTCGCCATCTGCCAAGCTACTCCATCCACATTACCAACAAAGAAGCTGCAGTTTTTCTTCTAGTCATTATTTTTAATTATCTTAAATTAACTTGAAACAATTCTATTACTATTAAATATTTTAATTTAATTTTATACAATTAAAAAAATAAAAATTTTTATGAATAAAAATTGTTGTTAGTAATTATTAAAGAGTGAGAACCTTGCTTGAGAGAGCAGTCCTGACACCACGATGATCAACGTGATAAACAACGTACCTGCTGCTGCTCGGTGCTTGGCCACTGACGTTTAGGCGTTGTCTGCAGATTCAATTTTTAAGAATCAAAGTTTTATGAACATTTATATAATACGATATTTAGTCAGTTTGAATTCAAAAATTTAAATTTTTTTACAACGTCTAGATCAGTTTTATTTGTTAGAAAAGAAACATGAAATGAATTTAATTGAAATGACTTATTTTCTTGTAGATGTAAATTGAAACTCGGTCTACCATTGTCTTCAATACTAATTTTGATATATGATTGTTTCTGAAACATTACAAATCATTCATTATCAAAATGCAGATGTGATACGTTCAAAAACTATTATAAATTATTATAATTAAATAGACCTTGATCTCATCGCATGACAGTTTACTTCCATTTGTGCTCCAAAATTTTAAACGGACCAATCGAGCGGTTGCCAACGTACCAGGGACTAGGAATCAGTTATTCATTTATTTATTTGTTTTAGTGAAAATGTTTTTCATTAATTGATTTAACAAAATATTAAATATTTATTATTTTTTAATAATTAATTCCATAATTTTAAATATATTGACGGTCGTTTATAATTTTTTAATCATTCTCTTGCTGAATAAAATAATGTAGGCTAAAATTTACAAAAGCTACAGGTTCACAAGCACTAACAAAAACACATACAACTTTATTATAATTATCCAACAATCTTTTGACAAAGAAATTTGCAAGCATTTCTCAGGTTACGATAATTTCACAAAATAGCTGCCATGTTATGTGTAAGGTAGAAACATATGCGGAGGTAGTGATGAAAATTATTATTCCACCTTACTTAATATGGAAATAATTTTAGCATTCAGAAGCAGGCAAAACATCAGCTCCATAATTTTTTATTTACATTTGTGACGCAACAAAGAATATGGAAAACTTGCGAATGATTTTCATGAGGTCGCCCTAATAAAGGCCTCACCATAAATCCTTCTTGCAGCAGCTCAGTATCTTCATATTTTCTTCATACTTTGTCTTTTGGCAATAAATATTTTTGAAATAGTTAAAAGTTCATTATACAAATCAACGACTATCCGCCTATTTTGCATTTTCGTAAATTATTTGTGAATTTATCAAATCAATTGTCAAAAATAAGATTGTGATAATATATTAAAAAATAATTTTTTTCTAAGGCTTTCAGATAACTATATAGTGGTTATAAACTCATTAGAAGAGTTTTGCTAGACTAAACAAACCAAAATAAAAAAACTAAATTACGAGTAAGTGAACAATTTTTTTCAAATCGAACAAAACATGAGATGTAAACATTATAAATTACCGGGAAATAGAGTCATGACCCACAGGTAATGAGAGGGAAAAAGTTTCCTATCCCTTCTGCCCTCTGAAATTTATTAAATATGTTTGATACTTTTTCCAATAAAACCATGGAGTATTTTGAAAAATTGAATCTAATTTTCTGTCTGTCTTTAGGCAGAAAAATCTTATTCAGTATTTAAAAACGGTTAATTCGTAAGCAACAAAGTTAAAAATCTTGCAATCAAAAAAGAAATCACTTGTTCCGCCAAACATTATGCCCATGAACCCATTATATTTTATAAGTTGTTGCAGAATAGAATGGTACGTAGAGGGGTGTGTTTAAAAAATCATACAACCTTGAAAAAATAGCGCCAAATAAAGTTATATAAATAGATTTGAATATAAAAATTAAAATAAATAAATGAAATAATAAACAGATAAAAATGAATAAGCGGATAAAAATGAATAAAGAACGAGAATTATTTGCTAGGAAGAAGGAACAAGAGTTCAAACAAGAAGACGCGAGAAAAGTGCGAAGTAACAAGATGACGAGAATCACATAACAAGTACGACGATCATTAAAGCAAGCCTCGAGTCAAATATGTTTATACATGCTCTGATCAAATATCAACAAATGACGGCCGTCATTATCGACTTCATCGTCGTCGTCGTCCTCTCACGAACTCTCACTGCTGTTTTTGATGTAAATATTCTTATTAAAGTTTTTTTTATTTGCTTGTTAAGTCTCTAAACATGTTGTTTTTGATGCTATTTCTAAAAAGATAAGGCAAAAAAACCAATGATTATATCCTTGGTTTAATGAGATTTTTCTAAAAAAATCACTGAGCAGTTTAAAAAACAAAATTATAAGAATTTAGAAATAATTTTCATTCAGGATGTCATAAACGACTACTACAACAACACCAACAAGACTAAACATCTTTTTTAAATAATTTTTCTAATTTTATTTTTCATCACAAACAAAAACTTTTCAACATTTATTTCCATTTTTTTTGTTTTTCCCATCCTTGCAGCACGTTTCTTGAGATCGACCAACCTGTTTGCGACACGCTTCGTCATTGGACTTCAGAGCTATTTCCCATCTTCATTTCTATCTTTCTCACCTGACAATCAATCAACTTACATATTCTGCAGCAGTGAACATTTATCTTATTTCAGTTGTGTTTTGTGGCTACCAAGTTATAACTATGTATGTAACTGCATCAGAGAGTTTCATTTAATTCCAGTCGATTACTTATTTGTAGTCAGAAGAACAAAATATCAATTTTTAAATGGTCAGAATCGTACAAAGTACACAAAAATATAAATGTTGCTAGTTTATTTACATATCAAACATATCAACTACATTAAAAATGTTATGGAACACACAATTAAAAAACAAACACACACGCGCGCACGCGCGCACGCACGCACACACACATATATAAACGGGCAAACACACTCTTACACACGTCAGCATTATGTTGATATGCATTGGCACCTCTGGCGTACAATCTTGAAAATTCGTTATTTTGGTGATCGAATCAATCTTTGATAGGGGCATACAAACAAACAGCACAACAGATAGTTGCATGCATACAGACATACAACCCTGCATGCATTAATGTGTATATATAGACAAACGAGTGTGTACTTATAAATACATACATGCGCCAACCAGCTGAATAAAAGCCGCACCACACATGAAACAACAAACAATTATAGAAACAATGATACAAAACTACATGGGAACACATAAAGACTCACAATGACACAAACGCACAGACATTCGCCACATTCTCCAGCACGCATATACGAGGGGTAGTAGGTAGGATGAACTTCACATTAAAACGTGCTTCTCTATCGGTGTCAGCTGTGCACGTGAATTGAATGCTTGGAGAATGTTTCCAAGTGCTTCTCATACCATTATATGCAGTTGCTGTTTCACTAAAGTTATTTGCATAGAAAAAAAAAGTATGCCTCTCTACCTACCAAAAAATCAAATGCTTATAACTTCACTACTTTTGAATTTGCCATTTTGTTATTATACAATTCGATTCGCCAATATATGTATATATGTATATAATTATAAGTAATTAAATAATAATTTTGAATCATTTGGATTCAAATCTCACCCAACATTGGAAATAGGTAGACCTATATTTTTTGAGTCAGCGTGTTTTACAGGTTTACTTAATTTTTGCAACAGGTTTCAATATGGCTTCTCAATAAACAAGCAGCTTTTGATTGATTCACAACGTACACTTTTCAACTTTTTACAATTTCTTTGAACACTATATATATATTTATTTATATATTTATATATATTTTGGATTAAGAATGTCAGAAATGCAATTATTAATGAAAATCACAGCATGTTCCGCGTTAGTTAGCTTCCTGTTTAATTTTTCGATTTTTCTAACGGTAGATCGTAAATCATTGTCAAGTTTCTTGAGTTCAAAACCGAAATTTTGTATTTATTTTAAGCAAGATAGAACATTTAAGCATATACATATATATGTAAATATATATATATATATATATATATATATATTTGTATATGTATATATATATAAAGATCATTTATATTCATAAATATTTATATCAGTGCTGATACATGCACAAATATATATCTATTTAATTATTTATTAGATTCAGCACAACGTTATTTCATAATGTACGTTATGGAGATTTATTCCAAAGCAAGCAAGAAAATATTCTGCCGACGCATTTAAACGTAACATTTAAAAGGAAAATTAAGTAAGAAATATTTTCAGATGACCAGCATTCAAATAATAAAAACCAACCAACCAACAAAAAACAAACAAACAAACAAGCATACAAAATACAAATGAACGAACAAACAAACAAAGAAGGAAATAAAAAGAGATGCAATGAAG